CTGACAATCCCAGGCTTAAATACTTGGCTGCCATCCAGTTACTCTCTATTTTGTGAGGGGAAGCCCAACATTCTGAAAAACAAAGACTGTTCCAAATCTTTTTATAGTTCCTCATCCAGCTCTTAAGAGCTATGACTGTACTGCAGCGTGGCCTTCTGCCCTGTACTACCTCCTTTTCCACCCAGAGTTTCTAACATGAATGAGAGGGGGTGGTTCAAGGAAAAACAATATCTGAGATGAGTCCATCTGTCCATATCTCTCTTGCTAACCTTTCATTTTATATCAGTTTTATAGGAGATCAGTTATCCTGAGTACAGTTCTAAAGCTCCATGGTAAAGTGTTACAAGACATTGGCCACGTATGTTATGTATAAGAGAGGACAGGAGGAAGATATTGGCCCACTATTCCTAGCTCTGCTCCATTTGAGCAGCCATCTCCTATGGGGGTCTTTAATTCAGAGCCTGAGAATGAGCCTATCACATTTCATCATCTCCACTCATACAGACTGCAAGGATAGGTGACCAGCCAGGACAGGGAAATCCAATAATGCATTTTTAAAAGTGAGAACTCTGTAGTTTGGTACATATAAGTTGGAATTCTAGCTTTATCACTTTCTGGCTGTGGAAGTTCTGAGCCTCTGTTTGTTTTCTTGTGTATAGACCGGCCTGATAATAGTACTATCTCTCAGAGTTGTCATGATGATCAAGTAAGATAGCACATGCATACAACATGATCTGAAGTCCTATGTTCTCTCCCTCTCAGGAGCTCCAGGGAAGCCAGGCCCCTCCGGGAGCCCTGGCAGACCTGGGCACAGCATGAGAATAGGTTACACATTGGTGAAGCACAGCCAGTCTGACCAGGTGCCTCCATGCCCCATCGGAATGAACCAGCTGTGGGCAGGTTACAGCCTACTGTTCGTGGAGGGCCAAGAGAAAGCCCACAACCAGGATCTGGGTAAGAACTGGTCCTGACGCCCAACCCTGGCCACCTGTCCCCACAAGCACCAACAGCTAACCACCTTCTCGCAGCCCTTTAGGTCCATTGTTCTGTATAGGGTTCTAAGTACCAATTAGAGTACTAGAGTCAGGCAGATCTGGGTTCATATGGTGATACCACCACTTATTAGATGTGTACCTAGGCAAGTCATTCAACCTCTCTGTGCTTCTACTTCCTCCTTAATGAACACAGCTAATGCTAGTACCTCTCACTACCTAAGGTAGTGCATGCAATATGTGAGTTAGCCAGTGTAAAATGTTTAAGGTGAGGATTAGTGATTAGTAGTAACAATAATACCATGACCTGCAGGGTCATGATGATTAGCCAAGAGTTAACTGCATTTTTTGAAGGTGTGCTAATTCTTATAGGTAGCCTCCTTCTATTAAATACTAGTTCTGCAAAGCAGATTAATTAGAGAGTGACTGAGCTCATAAAGATTCTCATCATTATCAAAGCTCCCTGGCACATTTACAGTATGATTTGATTTTCTCATGTGGATGGTATCCAAAAACTAGAGGAGAGGTACCCTGGTCTGGTCAAGTGTCTGGATGTAAATCCAAACCACCAGTTAGCCCAGTCCTGGTAGTTCTGCCCCTTGGTGAACCTGACCTGTCCTTCCCTACCTTCTTCTCCTTCCACCAGGTTTTGCTGGTTCCTGTCTGCCCCGCTTCAGCACCATGCCTTTCATTTACTGCAACATCAATGAAGTGTGCCACTATGCCCGACGCAATGATAAGTCCTACTGGCTTTCCACTACCGCCCCCATTCCCATGATGCCTGTCAGCCAGGCCCAGATTCCCCAGTACATCAGCCGCTGCTCTGTGTGTGAGGCACCATCGCAAGCAATTGCCGTGCACAGCCAGGACATCACCATCCCACAGTGCCCTCTGGGCTGGCGAAGCCTCTGGATTGGGTACTCCTTCCTCATGGTAAGGTGCTACACTCCCAGTGTGGAGAAGCAGAGGATCAGGGCTGTGGGAGAGTACCTCTTAATGCTTCTGAGACTCAGGCACAGGTGGAAAGGAAGAGAAATGCTCAGCTGGGGCTTGGCTAAAGACCAAAGAATGAAGTTCTGCATGAATGACAGGTAGTTCTGGGTATGAGGGAAGGACAGTATTCTGCATCTAGCATTTCAAGGGTAAGAAAATGTACTACCACAGAATGAGACTCTACCATCTATACACTACAATCTGAGAGAATAGCAAGCTACAATCTTAGAAGACAGTGAAGAAGAGGCTGTCCCCACTCAGAGTCAGGACATACTGGTTAGGTTGAGTGTGGCACTTCATGCTCTTCTACACACTTTTCCAGGCCCTTCCAGCCACTGCCACTTTGTCCTGAAATGTCAAGCTTATGTTATACTAGGTTATATCTGCTGGCTGGCATTTTTGCTGCCTTTCCACCTCAGTAGGAAAGCAGTGGCCAGAAATTCTTTGTGTCTCTGAGAAAGAGAACGTCTGTGAGCCTAAGAAGGCCTGAGCCACTCACTTGGTATTCACCAAACATCACTCATCAGATGAGAAGTCAGATTTTAGAGCCAGGACAACTCCCAGGAAACCCAGTGTGGCAGCTACTGAAGTAGCCTGCCTAAGCAGAGCCTCCTGCTGAATCACTGAGGCAAGCATGCGAGGGAGTACCTTTAAAAAACTTCCAAGCCCAAGGCTCCCTCACATTAACGTACCTACCTGGGGTACATTGTTGTGCTGTCTTTGCACAATGGGCAGTTTATCCCAATGTACTGCAGAGTTACCTCATCTGTCATTCAGTCCCATCTACCAGCCAGGCCAAGAAATAAGGAGAAAATGGCCCTAAGCTTCCATGGGAAACCATACAAAGACTACAAAATCTCATGTGCTCTGTTCATGGGAGAGCTTAGCTCTTATTCAGAATCTTTTTACTCTTACTTTGCACATTATTCTAACATACAAGTATATATTTCCAGAATATCAGGAAGGGTGGAAATTTAGACTACCTATTAAGGTATTTTGAGGCAATGAGCATGCTAACTAAAAAGGAAAAAAGAGAAGGAAATGATTTGAAGGTGGCCAAAGAATTTTACAAGCTGCTTGCTTTGGTACAGGGCCCTTGAGTAACTGCCCTGCACAAAACCTGATATTTGCCAACCTTCAGTCATCTGCAAACTTTACAATACAGTGTCTGTTGTTTAGTAAAGCAGGGAGTTGCGTCATATGTTTTAGAACAATTTCTATCGTGGGGGTTGAAATAAGGAAAACTGATGCTTCAGTTATCAGGAAGCGTTACTTGAAAGGCCACTTGGAGACTCACTGTCTCAGAGTTCTGAAAGGCAAGGAGTCCTACCTGGGCATATATTCTTTTGGCCATTTGCTGACACAGGTGTGCATTAAGCTTATTTCTCACATCCTGTGGTCCAGATGATAACCTAGCTGAGGTGAAGCTGAGAGGGGGGTGAGTGCAGGTGAGAGCTGCTGTCTACGGGTATGGTAACTGGAGACTGTCAGCTCCTAGGGGCCCTGCGAGTGAATGCTGAGGGAGCCCTCTGAAATGAGGGCTGAAACATAGAGGACAAATGTACAGCCTGCACTCACTCAACAGGTAACAAACACTATATGCTATGCTCAAGGGTGTGGCTCAGACTGAAAATGTAAGTAGTCACAAAGAGACAACCAGGCAAGAGCTATTGATAGACCTGCTGCTAAGGGAGGGCCAACAGTTGGATGAAGGCATACAATATTGTGCCCTCTTTTCCTGCTTAGAATACAAGGCACAGCAGACTTAGGTACAGAAGACAAAGTGCTTAGAGAACTGAAAGTAAGAAACCTTGTGAATGTGCCTTAATCCAGCTCTTCTCACACTTATTCATCCAGGAAAATTGGAGGAGGAGATATCCAAGATACCTCCAAACTCAGTGGCATAGCAGCAGTTGGGGAAATACTGGTTGAAATGTAGTCACTGGCATGATAGGTGAAGAATGAACAAAGTTTCTGGAAGGATGTGCCCCTAGCCATGAAGGCTGCTAGGAGGGAGAATGGGCAGCTGCTCCCCTAAAACAGTTTCTGCCATGCTGGCTAGAAGCAGTGGCTGAGCCAAGGGACAAGGGCTCAGAAACGGAGCACATGTCACCCTGTAGCCACAGAACACTCATCCATCACCTCCCTGTTCCAGGCCTCAACAGGCGCAACTCACTCAACCTCCTTCTCATCTATTTCAGCACACCGCCACTGGGGCAGAGGGTGGAGGCCAGTCCTTGGTGTCCCCAGGCTCCTGCCTTGAAGATTTCCGGTCCACTCCTTTCATTGAGTGCACTGGTGCGCGAGGCACCTGCCACTATTTTGCCAACAAGTACAGTTTCTGGCTGACAACAGTGGAGGAGAGGCAGCAGTTTAGGGAAGAGCCTGTGTCAGAGGTGCTGAAAGCAGGGCAGCTCCACGCCCGGGTTAGCCGCTGCCAGGTGTGTATGAAAAACCTGTAGGGTGGCACCTACCACTCTGACCCTTGCCTTCCATATCCTCTCATAATGGACACATCAAAAGCCTCAACAATCAGAAGGAAGGCCTGGACCCTTCTGTCAAGTTATACATTGGAGTTTCATTTGAACTGGACTGTGGGGCCTAGTCACTTCAATCCTTAGGCCCTTTAAATGATCCCACCCAGTGAGACCTGCTGTGCCTATGGCATCAAGCTACTGTTCCATTTGGGTGTTTGCATGCCTGTTCACAGCTAGCTCAGAAAGATTTGCTGGACCACCAATTAAGACTGCTAGATGCCTTACTGTTTGATCAGAAATCTCTTCATGATAGCTAAGACTACTAAGTCACTTTGTTCTGTTCAGAAGTTATAACATATTATTTGGCTTAAGCCCAAGCCCAGTGTTTCTACATTTAAAAAACGTACCTGTCTGAACCTTCACAGGTGGCTCAAGTATACAAAGGGCAAGCTCCCACTATTCTAAGAAGCCCACTGTGTCTAAGTCGGCAACAGAACTGGAAGGAAATGGCAGCCAGTAGCCCACAGTGGGTCATGACTCCTTCCCCATTGCTTAGGAAGGCTTCACGGCCAGCAGCCCCCTTATTTCATCTGGTCCTAGACAACTCACTTCGTCCTTGCTAGTTCATTCTTCCTAGCCAGAGGACTTCCCTTGGACCAAAGAACAGTGGATACAATAAAGGTGGCCAAGGCCATAAAAGGAAATGAAGACCACAGCCCTTTTTCATGGGCCAGGGGCAGAGGAGTAGATGGACAAGGAAGCATACATTTTGGTTCAGATTCAAGGAACAAAAAAGCACATTTCATTTGTACTTACATTTGCTCAACTTCTCAGAAGTCTGTTCATTCTAAACACCATCCAAATGTATTCCAAGTGGTAAAGTGCAGTTGCAGTATGTTGGATCTTTGTATTCTGAAGCTGAGGTTTTCCATTAAAATGGGCATGCAATTGCTCTTTCACAGGTGGTCTTTTAATCTATTTTGTTTTTTAAAACTCAAACAATTTAATACAACCCTCCCTCTCGCCAACAATTGGTAGACCTAAAGCAAGCCTGAGTTGGTTATAAAGTATGTTCTGCTTGGGGGATTTATTTTAACCATTTTCTTTACCAGTTTCTGAGAACACTTTTAAATATGTTGACATGGGGACATTCCTTCCAGGTAATTCTGTTTCTTTAAGTATTATGTAAACTGTGCTAACACAAACAAAGCTTAATCAGTGTAATCTGAACTACTGTAACCTTCACCTCCTGAGTAATAAACATGGTGCCAGCTTTGTACATAGCAAATAAAATGAACAAAATCTGAACATTTGACTTCTGGCATTCTTTGATTAAAAAAAAAAACTTTTCTAACAACCATTCTCACTAAGCGCTATACCTAAATATTAAGGTAAGAAAAAATTAGGAAACAATCCAAGTCTAACAGTTGAGTCCTCTACTGGTCATTAAACCCACAACATGCTTCAAAATAAGACTACACCCATTTTATTCCCATCACATGCTAGAGTTCAAAAGAGGAATTTCCACACTTCTGTGGCTTCAGTATCATTTATCAGTAAATTAAAAGTAGATAAATATTAAAGCCATTAAAATCCAAATCTAAGATATATATGAGTGTGCATATGTGCATATATTTTATATAAATGTATATGCTTAAGTACAGGAATATATTTATATATGCATAAAATATATCATCTGGAAGGATAAACAAGAAATTAATAACACTAGGAACTTATGGGGAAGGGGACTAATCTGTGAAAAGGAGATATTTCATTGAATATCATTTTGTATCTTTTCAATGTTGTATCTCTGGAATATATTACCTACTGGGAAAAAACAGGAAAACATGGAACATAGGGAAATACTTGAATTAGTTGGTGTTAGTTTGTAAAGCCCAGATGCTGGCCTGCTGTGGGACTATTTCAAGAATGGGAGTAAAACACAGAAAGTTAAGAAGGCAAGGCAAACAGAAAGATACTACAGAGACTTCAGTATTCTTACAGAAAAGTGGTTAGGAAAACTTATTTGATGAATATGTGTTTTAAAATTTCATAAGTTACTAGTCCTAAGTGGTTTGGAACTGTATTTATTGCACATATCAGCTGTCACTGCATGAATAATTCTTTCTAAAATCTCTGTCAACCAAAACAGTGTAACTCAAAGTTTAATTTTAATTCCTTAAACATAAATGAACAATTTAAATGATTACCAAGTGATCGCAAGCCAAGTGTAGCCCTCTACTTATTTTTGTGAATAAAATTTTGCTGGATTAAAGCTTTGTTAAATTACATGCGTGTAGTCTATTGCTGCCTCTGCTCTTCCACAGCAGAGTTGAGTGGTTATGACAAAGGCCACAAGGCCTACAAAGCCTAAAGTATTTACTCTCATGTCCTTTACAAAAACAAAGTTTCCTGACTCCCGATTCAAGGAGCACATTTGACTTAAAGACAGAGTAAGTGACATCTGACAAAAGTATCAATAAGGATGAAGACTATGACCCATCAAATACTAAAGTTCCTCCAAATAGGAAGACAACTGAGAAATATACATTTGACATCATTTCTTTGGCAAATGTTTTGGTGTAGATTATGACTATTTAAAATACACATCCAAATAATTTAACAAGAACATTTTATCCCTGATTTACTTTATTATTTGAGCAAGAGAACAGATTGCCTCTTAGTATTTATCCCCAAAGAGGTCACACCTGAAAGAGTGAAGAACAGCGTAAGATCTTGCATCTGCCAGTGTTTGGAACAAATGGGAGTTCTTATCTGTCTTCCAAATGTCTTCACTTCAGCTACTGAAGACTTACTGTAGCCATATAAGACAAGGTGCGAAGCAATGGGCTCCTCCTGAACTTTCTATTCTTAGACTCCATGATTGTTCTATTTCTTCCTGGGAAATGTTGTTGTCCTTTCTTTGTTTTTGTTTTGTTTTGTTTTTGTTTTGCTTTATGTTCAGACATTGGTATTTGACTCCATCATGATTGCTAGTAAGTTTGTATACTGTTGGCGTATCAGGCACTTGCTGACTAGAAAAGTTTTATGTAACAAGTTCATGTTCCTGTGGTGCTGATGGAAGACAGACCTCCAAATTGAGTTCCCACTATACTACACACTCAGAATCTCAAAATCTTCTTCCAGGTCAAAGTCCTCCAGTTGTTCAGTGGAGTCAATGAATTCTATTAGAATACAGAAATGAGAAGAAAACAATGGCATTAGAGTTGTTCTAGTCAATCAATACATTACTCAATCATTAAGGCTATGCATTTTAAAATCACTCTGCCAAAGAAAGGCTTGTCTGGCAACTTACAATTAGGATTACTGCCAAGTATTAGAAATTCTCTACAAGGCTCAAAATAACCAGACTGGTTATATTGCCAGATCAGTGATCTGGAAAACAATCTGCAAGCCCTTCAAGATTGTTTTTGAATTACTCACAGTCTCAGGTTTATTATTCCGAACCAGAGTAGAAAACAACAAAATTCTAGACACCTTGATATTGTGTAAAACTTTTGCACTGAGCCCACGTTCGTCATTTATCATTGTTTTAAACTGGAAAGTATCAGCTCAACAGATGGTTAAAATAATGAGCAAAGGGCCGGCCAAATAGCTCAGTGGATTAAAGCGTCTGCAAGCAGGTGCAGGGGCTGAGGGTTCAATCCTGAGGCCTGCCATGCCAGCCCCGCCCCCGGGGCACGCTGGGATGGCAATTGAGACTGGGCATGGTGGCACGTGCCTGTAATCCCAGCTCTTGGGAGGCTGTAAACAGGTGGATCACTACGAGTCTGATCTAGTAGTGAGACCCTGAACACCCTGTAGGCCCTTCCCTAAAATACAAAAAATAAAAACAAAAATAAAATAGTCAGCAAACTCATTCCTTGAAGGCCCAGCTGAGTAGAAATTTCACTTTCCACAGAAAGCGTGAGCCACAATTGTTTCTCTCATGAAACAGTTGCTACATGTGGATCTGCCAGCTGATAACTCCTGAAGAACAACTTACCTGCCCCAGTGGTTGTCACCTCTGGCTTGGTTGGAGGTACAAAGGGAGGCCAGTGTGGTGGATGTTTCTGAACTAATTCAAACATCCTTAAATTCTCCTTCAGAATTTCCTGGGGAGACACAGAAACAGTTGTAAATCCTATAGAGTCACTGTATTTCTGTCCAACTGGTGATCTATGACACAAACCCTAAAAGAGTAACCTGGGGCTTGCCAGGTAGGACAAAAAGGCTGAGTGGATAAACGCATCCTCTGCTTGAACTATATGAAGATATTAGCTGTCTTCAGTTCTGGATCCTGCTGGCGAGCCATTGCTCATTGTCCACACTCTGTCATGCAGCTTGAGTACTGTGCCAGCTGACTGGCCCAACTGAATCTAAGAGTGAGGTGCTCCTGAAGTATTTGCTTTTTAAAAAATACATCATCGAATTACATTAAATGTGCCCCAGGAGAATGCCAGCACATAGTAACATGGTTTTGGTTGTAGTCCAACATTGAAGGCACATGTGCTACCTTATATGGCATAATCTTATAATATTCTCATTCTATTTTTAAGTGTGATAGCTATACAGTTTTGCTGCATTCTGAAGTCTAAGCATTGCTTTTAGAAAAGAATTGTCTATTCTGTGTCAGTAAATTATTGCCTGGGGTCTCAGATTTGGTTAGGTGCATTGCTGTTATTTGTTCACTTGTAAAGAAAACCTTCCCTTTTTATTCCTACAAAGATTCTGGGCTCTTATCTCTCTAAACATTCTGTTTTGCAGATAGGAGAACTTTAGTCTCTTGCCACCCCACCTGAGGCTCTTTACCTCCTATGCTTTCCTTTCGGTTTTTCAATAAGAATTTATAAACATTTTCCATCTACTGGCATGCGTTAGGGGCTGACCACGAAGGTGGCAGACACAAAGGCTGATAAGCCAGTGGAATAATTCCCTTTACACAAGATACCAAAAGGAAAGAAGAACTTTACATGGATTACTGCAACTTGTAATTCCTATAAGTGGCGGCATGTCCATATTTTATAAATAAGAAAGTTAGTAGACAGAAAAGCTGTCAAAACCATGATAGAATACATTAGATTCTTAAAACAACACTAAACAAATTGAAAAGTGTTTTAGTTTCCTTAACTAGCTGAGTATCATGAATAGCCTAAGTAAGGACTTAGGGTTGAGAAATGGGAAACTGGCATTTTTAAGTTAAAAGAGTAGGACATTAGTTAAGTATGACATATAATTCATAAGGGCAATGAAATGAAACAGTATGCTTCACCACTAAGGCCATTACTCATCTGCTACATTAAGCATGTTTGAAACAAAATCTTTGCTTTGTTCCCCAAAGTTATGCACAGTTCCTCACATATGATAGATTCCTTGTGACCTTTGCTTTTTGCTCTTGCAATAAAATCATGTCAGACTAGGTTTATGTTACTCTGAAAACATCTTGCAAAGAGTCATACTGAGTAGCTTACATTTGTAAGATTAAATAGAAAAGTACATCATTACCTTCTGAACAAGGCTACACCAGTTATCGAAGTCTTTCTCTTCTTTGCAGAAAAATCCCTTGGAAGGAAGAAAAGAAACAAAAAAAATACTACTAAGAATTGCCCTTTGTAGTGCAAGCAAGAGCTGCTGGCCCTGAGTTAAGAGGTGGGCCACCGTCTCTGGACAGGGCTTCCTAGCTACAGGGGGAGACTGGGTGGGCTTTTCTTCCCCCTGGCTCATTGCCTTATGTGTGCACCAATGTGGGCATTTTGCTCCTGCTCTCACTGTCTCATTCTGTCTCCCTGATTCTTGTTCTCTGTTCCTTTCCGCTGCCCCTCTCCCCTCATGCTGTGGGCTACTTTAACTTGAAGCTCAATCTCCAAAACATAGGGTTATGCTCATCCAATTTGGTGTGCCAATAGACACATCTATAAAAATAGTCAATGAAACCAGCAAAGAAAGCCAAATAATACTTTTAGCTACAGGCAATACCTAAAGTGGCTTGGCCTTCAAGAAATTATCTATGACAAAAGAAAGAAGCAGCTGTCTTCTTCCCCATTCTAAGAGCCATTCCACTGTAGTGAAAGGATGGCTCAGAACAAGAGGTGAGATGCTCCATGTCTTGGTCACCGATGCTCTGATGGTTGTACTAAACAGGAAGTCAATATGCAGACAGGCCTCAGAACCATCGGCTACATACAAGTAGATGTACCTTTAATGCGTGCTGAGGGCAGTCATACTTCTGCAGAAAACCTGTAATGTCCTAGATTCTGTGCATCATAAAAGATTCACTGTTCCCCTAGGGGGGTGTCTTGTCCCTTTTCTCATCCCTAGTCTTATCCCACATATTTCTTGTGTCCATGTAGATGATGATGCTAATAGTAACGTTCATAGATTTCATAATGCATCAGTCTTTGTGCTGTGTCTTACAACACTGCACCTCACGGAACCCCATGAAGAAGGAAGTACCATTCTCATATTTAGAAAAGACAAAGGCTCAGAAAGATTAAATGACTGCCCCTAAATCCACAGCTATAGTAAGTGGCAGAGCCTGGGTTCTAACTCGAATAGTATGGCTCCAGGATCCATTCATGTCCTCAAAAAATTAAACTGACTCTCATGGGGTGGTGAGCAAATGTACTCTTGCCACACTACCAAGCAGCCTGGGTAACTCCCACAGAATGCGCCTAACTGGATGGCCTTGTATTTCCTGATCCACCCAACCTTCAGATACCCACCAGTGCTACAGAAGGATCCAAATTCAGTATGTTCATCTGCTGCGGGGACTGCAGGCAATGGAAAGTCTGGTCATCAACCATTCCATTCTCCTCCGTGTCAACAAAGGTCTGGGTTGTGTGAGGATCCAAGAAGATAAGCTCATCACCTGTTTTGAGTAAGATATGCTAAACCTTTGAAGAACCAGAGGCCCCAGCCCTGCTGCTACCCTTGCAAGGAGGCACCCAGGCTCCCTAACCCTTTCCTTGATGACAATGAGAATGAAATGACAGAAAGCCTGAAGCCAGGGTGAACATGCATAGAGAAAGCCATTTGTCCCCAAATCTAGTCCTTCAATCAGAAGACTTGCCCTAGTATCTACAGGTTTGGGGAAAGGTAGGAGTGCGAGAACACAGATGGCATGGCAAGCTCTGTGAGCAGCAGTAGTAAACAGGCAACAGTAAGTCAAAACATTTTAGGCGCCTATGAGCCTAGTGCCATTAGGGAACTTTCTGCCCCTTTTATGTTGAAAAGCATCTTGTTCTAGGTCACTGCTTTTCAGACCTGTGCTCACAGAGCACCTCTGGTAAGCAAAAAAAGTCTTGGCCTCTGAAAGAAATGCTACTCAACACAAAACAGCATGCCAACTCTGCTGTGGATGAGATCCTAGGGAGCTGACTCCTGTTACTGTTAGTAAGTTAACATTTCTCTAGAAACTGCTGCTGAGAGTTGCTCTAATGCTCATCATCCATGTGTCAATTAGGCAAAAATACCTAAGGGTACATCTGATCTTACCGTCCAGGCCTAAGGGCTAAAGGAATATCTGTTTGTAGCAAGAGAATGGGACAAAGAGGGATTCCCTAAAGACTGTCCCTGGAATGGCATCTGGGAGCACACATCTGCTAATAAAGAAGGTACTTCTAATGTCTAGTGAAAAGTTTACCTTCTTTCTATCATACACCAAGGACAAACTACTACTTGATTCACTCTGCCTTAATTTTTGTGGTTTTTGACTAGGGTCATTGGGCCTGTTCTAGTAAACTCACAAGGATCCATGAAGACTTTACCTCAGGGAAATTCATACAACACAATATCAATACAAGATGTTCACAAAAGTATCTCACTTCGAATCAAAAGTACTACTCTACAAATACACGGTAAAGAGCATATGGAAATCAGTGTCCCCTTATAACATACTTTTATAGAAGTCAAAGTACATGTACATTCCCCCTAGAGAAGGTGGGTGAGCAGTAGGGTCAAAATAGCTGCAGATCATACCATGCAATAACAACCAAAATATTTAGAAAGAAGCCTATGAAAGACCATTAGATAAGAAAAGGAAAATTCAGACAGTAGAAAGCCAGAGCAGGTTTTGAATCAAGATATCTACTGTACCACTTTGAGTGAATATGCTATGAGAAAAAAAATAGCTTCCCTAACTCTGGTGAGCACCTTTTCCAATGGGGTGTGTGTGTGTGTGTGTGTGTGCGTGTAACTTTCAAGCCTGCTTTTTTTTCCTAGAGTTCTTATAAGAGATACAGAAGAAGATATGAAAAGTCCTAGAAATTATGTAGAGAGTAAACGAAGAACTCACTGAGGCCCCAGGTAAAGAGGCTGGCTGGTCTATGCTGCGCATAACCAAGGTTAAGGATATAGATATCCAGGTGGTAGCCTATAGCCAGGTGGAGGGAACAGATAGATCCTCCTCTCTGACCAGACAAGCCTGGAAGCCAGAGCCTCATCTTAGCCACAGATCCCACTTCCACAGTTTTTCCCTCAGAGACGCACTGGAGTATGGCAGGCAAGAATGACCAAACTGGGATTGAATGCTGGTTTTTAGTGCTTCCTAACTGAGTGACATTGAGGAAATAACCTCTTTTCTATGAGAGGAACGAAAAATCTTAGAAACAAGGCATTTGAATGAAAGTGACACCAAAGGGGATTTTATAAGGCACTTACAAAAATAAAAGCCACCAAGGGCTCCAGATTTTCCATCAAACTGTAGTTCTTCAATGTGACCACTAGATGGGGGAATTATAGCGAGCAGAGGACACTGTAGAGCAACCTCCACCCTAAAGACAGGAAGAAATAGCTATAACCAACACCAGAGGGGCTGAAGCAGAGCCAGCTTTTGTGACTGTGTATACAGGGGGCGATTAAAAAATGCTGTGGAATTTTAATATTTTAGAAATTATAGTAAAAGACACATTGTTATTAATCCCCACCAACATACTCCCCTTCACTTCTAACACAAGTCTCCATCATTCTTGCCACGTTCAGAAGCAGCTCTAAAAGTCTTCTTTCACAAGTGCCTTTATAAGGTGTGATAAAAGATACACTACATGTTGCCACCACCACCCTGTGTCATCCAACAGAAAGGCAGGCTCCCAAAAACAGTAGTGTGTCCTCATGCACCTTATCCATTGGATCTGGCACCATGTACCTTCTGGCTTGTCCCCAAAGTCAAAACGCCATGTTCTTAACCAATTTAGGACACAGAGGCAGCCACAGGGCAACTAAAGACATGTCATGAACACTGCCTGAGAAAGTGGCAAGAACGACAGAATAAGTATGTTTGCAGTGATGAGGCGTATTTTAAGGAAGATTCATGGCAATGTGCCTTTTACTGTAAAATATGTAAGCATTCACTGTATTTTCCCAAGATACCTCATATGCACCTGGCTCTTTGCTGAACACCTTCCTGGGAGAATACCTAATGGTGATTTAAGTGGTAGCCTATTTTGCATATGAGGAGTCTGAAATTGAAAAAGCTGATCTCCTTGTTCTGTAGTAGTCACACAGCTCTTGACTGGGGGGTAGGTGCATAAAGCCATTTATTTTTGTTGCCATCCTACCTCACCTGCTCAAATTGGCAAAGAAATGGGTTGGGGGGGGGAGATCAAGGCCATCTCTACCCTGTCTTCTGCACATCTTCCCATACCATTACTTTATGTCTGCTCTAGATTTCCCTGCCTATTCACCAGTGTAAGCTCATAAATTCCTTGAGGCCCCATGTTTGGCTACGCCACCCCTGAAAGAGGTGCTTTGTGCCATATTTCCCTGGCTGCATCAATCCCTCACGCAGGTGTCTGGGTCACTGGCACTCATTGTGTGGTCTATGGACCAGCAGCATCAGTAGCACCTATTTGCAAAAGCAAATCTCAGGCCCCATCTTAGAACCCCAAGTCTGCACTCTAGTAGGGACTCAAGGTGATATGCACAAAGTGACGTTCCAGAGGCACTGAGCTAGCTCACCTTGGTTCATCATGTGTGCAAGGACTTTAGTGTCCCTGGTCACAATTAGTGAATAAGAGGACTAGGTTTCCAAAGGCACTGATCCATGAAGGGAATATCAGGCTGTTCATTAGGGTTCACATTAGAAGGTTAGCAGTTTTAAGTTTTAGCTGCCATTATTTGGAAAGACACACTTCTGTCCTTGACTCCTCTAATTCTGATCCCATCGTGGAGGCTCTGAAAAGCAGGCCTGGATCTGAGAGCCTGGAAAGGCAGAAAATACTCCTAGCCTGAATCCCTGAACAAGAGAGCGAGCGAGCGAGCGAGCGAGCGAGAGAGAGAGAGAGAGAGAGAGAGAGAGACAGAGAGAGACAGAGAGAGAGACAGAGAGAGAGAAAGACAGAGAGAAAGAGAGATCAGCAAAGCCAAGAAACCCCAAACCCCGCTGCTCAGGGCCTTACAAGTAGGAATGTTCTGGAACAATCCAAAGACCTTGGGACTACGCATTAGAAAAGGACATGTATTATCTTATTAAGAGGCAAGGAATAAAGACTTCAAAAGTTGGACTCACTTTCCGGCAGGCCATGGAAGCATTACTCTTCATAGATCAGGTTAGAGAAAGGAGAGCATGCCACAGTATCCCTGGCCTAAGTAGAAACTCCCATGCATATGCATACCTTCTTCCCACACCCTCCCCTAGCCCATGATGACTTACTTGCAATTCACCCTTCCTTACCTAAGAATCCTATGAAATAATACGCGTTATTTGGTTTTCCTCCTAATGCCCCTAAAGACTGTGGCATCTTAAAACACTCCTGGAGGGAAAGAGAATGCAAAATTCTCAACTCACTTGTGGACTGCTGCTCACGGATCGATGTGCTGACATGGTGGTGTGATGGGCAGGCAGCAATGGGCTTGGGCAAAGGAGCAACTTACTTTGAATGCATCAACATACACGGGATTGATCTGGTTTATGCCTAAGCGAAGGGGCACAATGAGCAACAGGGGTTTCCAGGCTGGGCAGAAGGCAGAGGTGCCTTTACTCTGGTTCGAAGTGATGAAAGAATCATGGGGGCTTTCTCCAGCTGTGTCAGCACTAAAGGGAAGGACTCGGCACATTTTTTCTAGAAACAGAAGACAAGAGATCCAGGTAAGGTGATCTAGCCATAGGATATTCTCCAAAGGTAGAACTAAGAAGGCTTTCCCTGCTCCTGTCAGGGCCCAGACATCCCCCATTCCCACAAGAAACCCAGGCCATCCCTTTGGCCTCATGCTCTGTATGCTGGTCATTGAGCTCAGCTGGTTTGAAAGAGAATCTCATTTCTCAACTAGTTTGCAAGGGTCTTTGAGACAGGGACTGTGTCTAATCTTCTCTTACTCCCATGGCAGAGGACACAGACCCCATACAGGTGGGTCTCCACAGCCATCTACCATTGCTTTCACAGATTATACATATCTTGAGACATCTGCAGTGAAAGAGAATGCTATATCTTTGAGAGGCATCAAAGGCTCCCCAATGGCTTTCCCCCTTTCAGAACCAGAACCCCCTACTCCCCTAGACTCCCTGATCCTTGTACAGCAGGCTAGAAAGACTCTTCTGAGCCCCAGACTTCTAAACGGTGAGGAAATAACTCATCACCCACCAGTCAGGAAGATAAGCAAGCTGGGAACTCACTGATATCTTCAATGACCACTGTGTTATCCATTGAAACATAAACAGCCAAGGAATTCCATTCATCAAATAAAGCAAGTTTTCTGCAAAGCAATATATAATGAGTTATAATCAGAGTAGATGAAAATACCAGCAATGTCCAGCGTCCCTAATATCATGAATTCCTGAGTCACAGAGAAGGTGGCATTCAGGTTAGCTCTGTGTCTCATTGTCTCCTTTGACAGAGCTCTGGGACATTCTATGTCCAGGGACCCTAAGAATGCCACAGAGTTACTATATCTGAACTTCATAAAGAAGCCGCTACATCATAACATGGAAAAGTCTCCTCACAAAGTGACAATATTCCCACTGGGCTGAAAAGAAAAGTTCCTCATGTATCTGCTGCAAACCTTTCAAGAAATTTTGATTCCTTAAATAAAAGACATTCTGAATTATTGCTTTTGTTTAAAAAAAAAGAGTACTGGTCAAATAGCTCAGTGGATTAAAGCACCTGCAAGCATGTGCAGGGGCTGGTGGTTCGATCCCCAGGCCTGCCATGCCAGTCCCACCCCTCCAGGGCGTGCTGAGACAGCAATTGAGACTGGGCATGGTAGCGTGCACCTGTAATCCTAGCACTTGGGAGGCTGTAAACAGGAGAATCACTATGAATCCGATCTAGTAATGAGACCCTGAACACTCTGTAGACCCTACCCTAAAATATAGAAGAAAAAATAAATTAATAAAAATTTTAAAAAAGAAAAAGAAAAAGAAAACCATCACTAACATTTTTCAGTACCAGGGATTGAACTCAGGACCTTGTACTTGCAAGGCAGGCACTTATTGTACTGAGCTATCTCCTCAGCCCCATATATTTTGAGCTGAGGATACAGTCCAATTGTTTAGCATGGGTTCAACCCCCAGCACATCCAAAATACATAAAATATATCTTTGAGAGAATAGATAACATGGAAAATGGCAGGGGGGGTGGGAGGGGGAAGAAGGAGGG